AAGACAGTTAACAATAAAAAGCCAATAAAACAACAATAAAACTACATTAATAAAATGAAAACATTTTACAATAAATTTATAAAAGCAGCAGGAGGGGCTTCAGAAACCTAGTTTTAAAACAATGGCTTCTATCTTCTATTCCATTCACAGAAGGCTTTTTTCCTGCTGCGATGTTTTCTGTGAATGGAAGAGGGATATAGGGAATTTTTGCAATTTCTCCCATTCTCAGACAGCCATCTGTGCCACCTCCTAACTTACCCAACCTTCTGAGTAAGACTTTTTTGTCTTTTGGGGGGGCAGGGGGGAGGAGGGAGGAATCAGTTAAAATTGCCTTTCCTGTCTCTATTCACTAAATGGAAGGATATTGATGGATGGAACCTGATAAACAGAACAAGCTCATGGAATCAGGGTGTCTTCACTGCCTATCAAAAGTTAACTGTGCCTGGGATGGGACATAGTGATCCTCTCTTTTTCAAATAGCATCTTTAAATACTTAGAAGGAGTTTACAATCCAAAGGCCAAAACTCTGATATTAAATGTACCTTTGCCTCTAAGATGCAGGTTATTAAAGATGCAGATTGCATCTTCTGTGGGATATGTGAAAGTTAATGGGATAAATACATGCATGGGGGCGCATTTAACTCCCTATTCCCCTGCTGAGGTCCTGTGGAAAACCCTCTTGCAAATGTGGCCTGTGCTTTTGTGGGAAGCAAATGCTAGCTTCAGAAGAGGGATCTTCCCCAGGACCATAACAACAGGGGAAGGAATTTAATCTCTCCTCCACATCATTTGCAATAACAATAATTGTCAGCCCCATCCCAGCTAATGCAATTTGTGCTGGATTCAAATTTTGGTTTTGATCCTAAAATTCAAAGCACAGGGGAAGGAAATGTAGATAGGAAAAAAGAGGTATGCACAATACATCAGATAAATGAAATATGTGCATGTTTTCTGGGTATAGTTCCATTGGGTATCATTCTAACACCTGAGGAGGATTCGAATAGTAGCATGCTAAATGTCTGTTCTCTTCTGGAACTTGGCACTTAGTAAAGGAGGCACATGATTGTTATCTTTTTGCAATTGGATGCATCCATGCAGACCAAATTCAGCATACTAAGCTGTACCTAAAGTAGTCCTAGTAAAGTTTTGGGATATTCTCAAGGGCACTTCCAAACTGTTGCTGTTTTGTGGGTGAGATTCAATTGCACACCGGCAAATTCCGGTCTCACAGTTTAAATGGCACTCTTCTGTAACAAACTTGTTCCCACACCCCTAAATTGGGCTTTAGTAAGGAAAGTGAGGGGGAAATATATTGGGAAGTGTAAGTTTACATGTGCTTAATGTGAGGTCACAAAATCTCCCTGCAAACAACAGAATGGATACTTAATAAACAGCCAACGTAATGTAACCTCCTCCCTGCAAACGTTGTGCAAACAAATCAGGACGTGTGTTCATTAAACAGGCCTTTTTTGAAGCAACCTCCATATTTGTTCATTTCTGGCTTTTTCAGCTGTGGACAATTCTATGAAAACTTTTCATACAGCCCTCTGAACAGCAAATGTCTCAAATTTTCTGATCCAATATTTCTAGTCACTCTTTACAATTCACTTGGTTGTTAATTGTCTGGATCGCTTCAGCTGTATAAACTGACAGTTGAAGGTGGTGGCAGTTTGTGAAATACTAGACATTGGCCCTGAAAGCATTAATTGCTGTTACAAGACGTGTCTCCAAAAAGGCCAGAGCAAGATGGGACATCATGGCAAGAACTCTGCTTTCTACGATTAAAAAAAAGAGAGCTACTCTTGATTTGCTTATATAGTGATTATCTCAGGGCAGGAATGAAAGATCCCTGTTGGTCAAAATGGAATTTTTGCCTAGATGTGAGCTTGATCAGATGCAGACTACTGTTTGAGTATGTCGTTCCCGACACCCCCCACCCCATCCCCCCCCCTTACAAAAACATTCCTGTTTCCCTTGTTGATCTTTCCATCCCAAATCCCCATTTCCTTCCTGTTCTCTTCACTCAGCGAACTTTTATCATATGCTAAGGCCATGCTGTCAGCATCAGAAGTAGAGAAGAGTTATAGGAAGAACAGTAGTAAAGGATCTGCTATGGGAGCCCTCCTCCAGATGGAGATTTCCCTGGCAGATTAATTTTCTGGTTTTATGGCCATTTTGTGCCAGCTAAACAGCTGCACCGGAAGCCTCCAGAAGGTCCTCTGCTTTGCTTCCTGGATTGCACGTAACATTGTAAAATATTATGCATAACATCAGGCATGTGGGAGCAGGTTTTAAATAAAACAGGGTGACTAGGGCTGCTGTTTCTGAATGGCATGATATGGGGGTCAAGCCATGGAAATCAGTGCAACTCAGTCAGTTTGCTTCAGTTCAATGACGCACAGATTTAGACCCATCTCTGATCCACAGGCCCGGGGCGGGGAAATATGTAGGAATTGCTACAGTCAAAGATCTAATTCACAATACCATTTTTGAGGGAGGAAGCTGATCTTGTGAAGGTGACCTGCACCCTATATAGTATAATTGCAAGTTACTGTGCCTTGAACTTGTTTTCTTAGATATCCTCAGCATTTGTTTTGCTGCATCAGGGACCACCCACAAGCCACATTCCCATCTAGCTATCTGCATAGGTTCAAAGAAATGATCTCAAATCGGGATAAAGGTAAATTATAATCCTCTGGTTAAGAGTCATGCAATACCTTCTGCATGCTGCACCACACTCAGTACATTGCTGGCACTGCACAAGTGTTAAGTGTGACAATTAAGTAGTCACAGTGCTGGTGCCACCAGGTTTACCCAAAATAAAAAGAGCATGAGATATGTCTGGTGCCCTCCTTCGAGTTTTCTCAAGAATGCCAGCAAATGCCGTCATTTCCATGGAATGCTAATAGGTTTTATAGATCTCTTGGAATTCTGGCTGGACACCTTTAAAAGTCAATTTTCAATGACAGCCTTCCTCCCCCTTCATATTGCATAATATATATTTTAGTGACATATGCCTCTAATCAGGCTAGATGCTTTTGCAGAGCTCTGAAGGACACACGGGCTCTGTAACATCTCTCAGATAATATTGTCATATTCTTGGAGCACAAGGCCCATTTTGAAACAGTAATTTGGTCCCTAAAGAGCTCTTTAGCCTCTGCCTCGCCTGCCAACCCTGGCCAAGTGTCGAAGAGAGCGGCCTAAGATAGATGGTCTGGACTTGGGTAGAGTAATTTAAACCATCCTGCTTTTTCTTGCTTTCTGGGTGGAGAATTTACTCAGGAATCTATATCATTCTCTCTCTCTCTCTCTCTCTCTCTCTCTGTCTCTCTCTCGTATGAAGTGCTTCTTTCCTTCTTGATCTTTTATTTTTATTTTCTCTCCATTTTCCATAGGAAACCTTTATTAGAATGCAGATGAACTTGACTTCTGCAAAGGGATTAAGTGGAGGTTCTTTGAGTAATAAATCTAAAAGCATATTACAAGCAAGGAAAAGGGATTTCCCTAGTGTTTTTGGATTTATAAGTGCTAGAGGCTAAACAACTTACAAGGGCACTAAGATTGCTCCTTTTTTCCTCCCTGTCCTTCTCCCCTGCCCAAGTGTAGGACATGTTCTAATATTGTGACCTAGCTGAAAATTAAGCTGGTTTTACTAAGTAGAAAACATGTAGAGTAATTGAAAATGTGCCATGCAGACAGGAATGCTCAATGTTACATTGTCTTGTTCGAAAGATTACACTGATTTGCAGGGAATGTCTTAACTCCTAATCCCAGTGACACAAGATCACATTGACTGTTTATTCTTCCATAGCTGGTAGAATCTAAAGGAAGGGTGATAATAATAGGTACTCTAGACGCTGAAAAGAATGCTTTGGGAGCCTTTTTTGAAACACGTTGAATTTTTAGTTTTACATTTTGTATAGTGTGTTATGTTTTCCAAAAGGATAGCATAAATTAAAAAAGTAGAAGGGGTTGGTAGGATGCTGTTCTAAGACATAAAGGGATTGGAGGGGCAATAGTAGTGAGGACTCTGTAAAGGCAGAGGAAGTTCCCTCTGGATAATGCAGAGTCTGGAAGAAGCTGAAAAAGATACAGAGCCTGTACTACTTGAAATGAACAAATCATCACAAGAAGAGGTGTTGAAAGTAAGGATTTCCTTTAGCTGTCCGTTCCCAAATTGTGGTCTGCCGACCCCACTGGTGGAATCATAAGCAGATGCATTTGATCCCACAGGGGAACGATTAGAAGGACAGACTGCCACTGCCATTTTGGATCTGTAGCAGCTGAGAATTTGAATTCTGATAGGAGGAAGCAGATGGTGGTCTATGAAACGTTAGGAAGAACGTTGGCTATTTTTGTGTTTATAAAAGGGCTAGGTATCGGTGACCCACGGTGAGACAGTTCACAAGTCTGTATCCTACTCTAGTTATGGATCCCCGTGAGAGGTGAAAGTTTTGCTGTGAGTCACATATGATAATTGAATATGAAAAAGCACATTGGCTTAATTAAAAACTAATTGTGGGTGGGTGAGGATTGGGAGGATTTGCGCACATGCTTCATCATGTTCCATTTTCTTTTGAGATTGTGGAAACCTGCACTTTGAACAAAATGTGTACCATTCATACAACCAGCATTCAAATGGTTCTCTGCCATGAATGTGAAAACAAAAATGTTTACCACTTGTGGATGGCGTAATCATGTTAACGGATTACTAAAATTCAATTGTAGCTTTTCCCCCTATGACAACCTGCTGCTTTGAATATCTGACCCCTATTTTGAGTCTTTAAAAATATTGTAATATTGTACTTAGCACATTTGGCTACAGTGTAGCTGCTACACGTTTCTTTCTAAACAACCAATAAGCAGCTCAATGGAGGTCCCCACTGGACTACTTTGTGTGTGTGGCTTCAAGCATCTCTTCAGATATTTTCTGAGATTTTGGCCCAGTGACTGGAGTTGGAACTAGAACAGAGATATCTAGAGCTCTGTTTTCCACTCTGGCTGAACCATAATTTACACGTAACATTTATGAGCTGTTAGAAGCTTTGGACACTACCTCTTTGTCTCTTTTTGGATCCAAAAGGAGATTTAAAACTTCTGCTTTTGGTTTGGTTTTCAGCAAAACAGAGTTCCCTGCTACAGTGCTTAAGGGAACTCTGGCTAGCTTAAACTCCAGCTGGTTCAAACAAACCAGGATCAAACTGCGGTTTACAGTTGCTTAACTAGAGTTTCAAGTAACCAGAGTTCTCTGAGTTTGGACGTTACCAGGAAACTCTGCCAGATTTAAAACTGGAAGCAGATTATTCCAATCACTTCCTCTGGTGCATGGAAAGGGGGGAATGGGAGAGTTCCAGGCTTGTTGTAGTTCATGCATGTAATGCTAAAACACAGTTTGGCATGGCATCCGAATGAGTCCATTACCCTTTTAATGGCAAGAATGGAACTTGAAAATTGCCCCTTTTCTATTAGCTTAATTTAGGAAAGACTAACCCACACTTTACTACACCCAGGAATACTCATGCTGATGAGAGATTCAGCAGTGCTTATTATTCTAGAGTTAACAACCAGCATTAACCCCTTCCACATCACATTTTTGAAATAAAATGAATGTTTTATAAGACCTAACCAGATAAGCATTCCTGAATCACATCTCCCCATATCTTTCCTTTCCACTCTGCCATGTTGCTTCTGTCTGCACAGAAGCACAATATTCCTTCCTCGCTGCCCGTCCCCATTTCATTCTGCTAGACTGGTGGTTTCACTTGTAACATTGACATTCACAGTGCACAAAAAAAAAAGTATGGAAAGCAAAGTGCATTTTAAGAGCCCCTTTTTTATTCCTTCCATGACTGGGAAAGATGGCAGAGAAATCTGAAGTAAAAACTGTCAATATGTGAGGCCTTTTGCAGCTCTCCTTCTTGATCAAATAAATAATTTGTAAGGTTTTGATGACAAAAGGATGTATCCTCTGCTCAGCTATCACCTGCCAGCACTGCCCTGTGCAATCTGATTTAGAGATTTAAGCATAAAAATCTTCCTTTCTGCTGTTTCCCCTGGAAACAGGAGCCCAGCAGAGAGGTTAATCATTTGGGTTTGCAATTCATAGCCGGAGTGGTGGTTAGTAGTGGTGGTGGTGGTGGGGAGCCAAAAATAATTCTGCTTTCATGCACCTAAAATGAATTGCAGAAAATGTTTATTTGAGAAACCATTGTTTAAACCACAGGTCTCAAAATGCTTTTATGCATTCACTAGGAATGGATTTATTCTTTTACAATTGTGCACATTCACATCAGATTGTTTTATTTAAGTGTAAGGATGTTCATTGACCTAAATTCTGTTGCACAATATGTCTTTGATGCTTACGTTCATTTGTTTTTACAAAGGTTTATACTCTACTCCTCCACCCCACAGCAAGGCTGTCAAAGTAGCACTGGGAGGGTGGGCGGGGGAGGGGGGAGACTTTCTTTCTTTTCACATTTATATCCTGTCTTTCTTCTGTCATTGAGTTCTGGATGGCTTACACAAGGGTCTCCAGTAGTTTTCCGTCCAAGCACTAACCAGATCCAGACCTTCTTAGCAGCAGCTAGGTTGCTGTACCAAGTCCATTCAGATTATAGCCCCTGGCCCTGTATTAGCATAGCCATGTATCACTTGATGGTCTTTTAACAGATTTATCCTCCCAACCTACAGTGTGGTTTAGAGAAATGGTGTTATGCTTATTTGATATATGAGGGACCCAGGCACAAGGAGATGGATATATTTTGCAACACGAAGAATGCAGCCGTGCATTGCAAGCTACAGTCATTGCACCTCAAGCTGCTGAGTACTGTACGACTCTTTCTTTTTTACCTTTCCTAATGTAGAAATGAATCCTAGTGATGAGCTCTGTTGAAACAGGAGGGCAGTCTGTGGATTTAGATTTGGGCAAGCTTAATTCTTCATCATGGTTCACTAGCAGGGAGTGCCTGGTGCTGCCTGGGAATCTAAATAAACCTACAAAAATGTGTTTTTTTATGGATAGTGTCATTTGTGAGTTTTATGGCAGTGTGTGTGTGTGTGTGTGTGCGCGCACTCCCCCCCAGCCTGAGGCTTCTACCTCTCCAAATCAGAAATCAATTTGTGTGTGTCAGGGTGCTAATGTTTAATTATGGCTTACTTGGTCTGCTATCCTGGTTCAACATGGTGTCTGGGTCAAACCGTAGACAAAAAATACCACCTCCATCTCAGGAACACTCATGCTGAGTTTGATGATGTTATCTTCAGAGGCATCCAATCTGGTAGAGGTTGGAACTTTTCCACCAAATTGGGCAATTATATCTTCAGAGCCATCCAAATTGATGCTGGTTGGAACCATCACACCAAATTTGTTGCAGTCACACTAAACTGAGTGCCAGTATTTTTAGAGGCATACAAATTGGCACAGATTTGGATCATTAATGCCAAATTGGGTTGTAGTCACCCTGAATTTTGGTCTGCCTCCTTGATTCAGAAGGGTGCCCAATGTCCAAATGAATAACGATATCTTCAGAGGCATCCAAATTGGTATAGGTTAGAACTGGCATGGTGAAAATTGGGCAAAGTCATGCCAAAGTCATGTTTCTGTCAGCCATCTTGATTCATGAATGAATAAAGGCAATAGCTTTCCTTTGCTACCTTCTCCCTGCAACTACCAACCCTCAATAACCTGCCTCTGAGGCTAAAGGCAATGGGGGCGGAGAGCAGGTGGGGCGTGGCCTGGCGTGTGTCCTGGTGGCATGGTGCACATCCTGGGGACGGGGTGCGCCACCCACAGGGACATGGTGCGCGACCTAGGGATGGGGCGCCCATCGTGGGTGGGGGGGGCAGCCGCGATGGCACCCCACTGGGATTGCACTGCCAGGGGCAGTGCGCTCTGCCCGCACTCTTCTTCCTCTGCCAGTTGCTAGAGGTTCCATTTACCTGTCATGGATAATAGCTGTTGGTAGACATATACTTTGCAAATGGAAAAGGAAATTAAAGCCAGGAAAACTAGTAGCCATTGTTGCAGCTTATGGAAGCCAGTTCCATGAAATAATGATATATGAAGTTATTTTCTTTTGTCTCTCCTGTATCTATTGCCAATCAATCTCACTGGGTGATCCTGAGTTTTAGTATTATGAGAGAGAGAGAGAGAGAGAGGAAAAAGTTGTTTCTAGCCACTGTTTCCACACTTCACATCATTTTGTCAACCTATATCACACCTTCCCTTAATCATCTATATTTCCAAACTAAACAGCCTCAAAGACCGTTAGCTTTTTCTTCCAACTCCTTGTTAATTTTGGTTACTTTTCTGATCTGCGATGGCCAGAACTCTGACATTTTCCCAAATGCAGCTGCACTACAGATTTGTATGAAAAGATTACGATACATGTTATTTTATTTTCAGTCGGTTACTTAATAAATCATAGCATGGAATGTGTCTTTTTGACCACTACTACTGCACACTGAGTTGACATTTTCATTGAGCTATCTACCAAAACCTCAAGATCTCCTTTCTTGATAGTCACTGCCAGTTCAGACCCCATAAATTTATATGTAAAGTTAGGACTTTATTTTTTCTCTCCAATCTGTCTCCCTTTACATTTATTTACACTGGGTATCATTTGCCATTTTGTTATTCAATTGACCAGTTTGGAGAGATCCCCTTGAACTGCTTTGCATTCCACTTGGGTTTTCATTATCCTGAATCATTTGGCGATATTTGGAGACTCGGCTGCCTTGTTGCTAACTCTGGACCATTTATTAATATTAAATAAGGTAAAGGTAAAGGTACCCCTATCTGTACGGGCCAGTCTTGCCAGACTCTAGGGTTGTGCGCTCATCTCACTCTATAGGCCGGGAGCCAGCGCTGTCCGCAGATACTTCCGGGTCACGTGGCCAGCGTGACAAGCTGCATCTGGCGAGCCAGCGCAGCACACGGAACGCCGTTTACCTTCCTGTTGGTAAGCGGTCCCTATTTATCTACTTGCACCCGGAGGTGCTTTCGAACTGCTAGGTTGGCAGGCGCTGGGACCGAACGACGGGAGCGCACCCTGCCGCGGGGATTCGAACCGCCGACCATGCGATCAGCAAGTCCTAGGTGCTGAGGTTTTACCCACAGTGCCACCCGCGTATTAAATAGCATGTCCCAATACAGATCATTGGAATACGCCAGTGCTTTCATTCCTTATTTTATTAGAACTGCTTGTTTACTCCTATCATCTCCTTCCTGTTCTTTAACCAATCACTAGTCCTTAGAACCTGTCCTTTTATCCGGTGATATGCAATTCTAGTTGCACTGGTATAATAATAATTATTATTTATACCCCGCCTATCTGAGTTTCCCCAGCCACTCTGGACGGCTTCCAATCAAGTATAGCATTAGACAGATGGTATCCCAGTGCCTATGGTCAAAACCTTCACACCTGTAACCAAAAAAGTTGTGGCCTCATTTGACCCCAATATTCTGTGTATTGTCTAGTTACTCAGTCCTAGGGAATGGGGTGGACACGGGGCCTCGACATGCAAATGGTTTGCCTCAGTAGATAGCAGCATGATTGTTTCAAATACCCTGCAGAACATGTGGGTGAAACAGTAGCAGCAGGAGTAGAATCTCCACTGGTTGCTCATATCCAGTCTAGTGGAGGCATAAGTAGGTCATAGTACGCTTCTCAATACTCTTGTGGTGGATATTTAAATTGAAAAGTTATGGCATTTCCAAAGAAATTTGTCTCTGAAAAAGAAAGCCCAACACCACTAAGTGACCTATGGGCAATGGAACAAGGTTGTCTTAATTTTCCTGTATAAAATCTCTTAGTATCCTTCTATATCCATAAGATGGTGAATAGCAGGTGGGGTTGGATGCCATGACCTAATCTACTAGCAGAAAGCTGAGTAGCACACACCATCTTGGATACAACCATATTGTGCATGCCAGCTGGTACCATATACAGAGATGGTTATGAAACTGAAAGACCTCGATTTTATAGGTGCTGCTGTGAGCAGTGTTTTAAAGATCACATCACTGTTTGAGATGACTCAGTCCTGAAACACATCCTAAGTCATTTATGTGACTCATGAACTTGGTAAGGCAAAAAGTTCTGTAGTTGTGGAGTGGTCCTGTGAATGCTTTTTCAAAATATACACACCTGGTGCATGCAAAGAAGATGTCCTTGGCTGATCTTAGATGATGTGATTGGGGCAGAATGGAACAGATGATTGTTTGTTATAGGGTACATGGGGGGTGCTGTGGTCTAAACTACAGAGCCCAAGGCTTGCCGATCAGAAGGTTGGCAGTTCAAATCCCCGCGGCAGGGTGAGCTCCCGTTGCTCAGTCCCTGCTCCTGCCGACGAAAGCACGTCAAAATGCAAGTAGATAAATAGGTACCTCTTGGGCGGGAAGGTATACGGCATTTCCGTGCACTGCTCTAGTTTGCCAGAAGTGGCTTAGTCATGCTGGCCACATGAGCCGGAAGCTGTACACCGGCTCCCTCGGCCAATAAAGCGAGATGAGTGCCGCAACCCCAGAGTCAGCCACGACTGGACCTAATGGTCAGGGGTCTCTTTACCTTTACCCAGCCCATTTAGTCCTTTCTAGCATTTGCCTTGTGGAAACTTTGGAAGGCTGTGGGAAAATCCTGGAACACTGGTGCAATTTACTCCCAGCAACACAATTCATTATCAGGTGACCTGCCATTTTCATTTAGTTATTTTAAACACTTATGCCTCACTTCTCCAAAACTCAAAGCAGCTTCCAACAGAATAAAGAAATTCATTCTGCTTTAGCTGAGATTCCTGCATTGCAGGGGGTTGGACTAGATGACCCTTGGGTCCCTTCCAACTCTACGATTCTAGGATTATATAATAAAACTAGCAATAAAGCACATAAAAAAGCAATAATCAGTAAATACAAGAGAATCAACTGTAACACAGGACCTAGCCTGCATTTGTAAGCCTTTAGGGGAAAAGCTTGAAACCCTACAAGCAAAGAGTTGCAGTCACTGACTGATTGATTGGCACCACACTATTAGCTTCTTTGAGTACTCTCCCTTAGAAATGGTCTAAGGGTGGTGTGGAGGACAATCTCTGTGTAGTAGCTTTAGCTGGAGTGGCTTTTCAAAAACACCCGAGAGGGAAGTCCTACAAGGACCCTTGTGATTTGGCAAGAGGCTAGTTATCACTTACAATAGCGGAATGTGTTTAACTACAAAAGCGTCTACCAGCAAATCCTAATGTCAGAGAAAAATGACTAAAACGTCTTACGACAATAAATTTGACATTCATGTACTCATGCTTGATAACTGATTTGAAGCTTTTACACCTAACTGCAAGGCATTACTAAATGAACCTTTCTGTCTCTTGTGTAAATAGATAGATTAATGACATTAAGCGAAACTCAAGCCTGCTGAAATGTTTGCTTCCTTATGGGGTTTTCAATTTCCCTTATTTTTGATAAATGAAGCAATCTGGCAATAAAATCCTTGCACAGTAGGTTAATAATGTCATAGCTGAACTGTGAAATAGTAATGTGTGTACTATCTCTTTGCAAACAATAATCCTTGAAGCCTGATAAATCTATTTCCAACCAACTTGTGTATTCATTGCTGTTGCTCGGTATTCCTTCTCTGCAGACACAAAACAGTTTGCTTCCAGTGCTTTTTGAAGCCGCAGAAGACAACTTGGGTCAGGAGGAAAAGAATGCAAGTTTCTAAGACAAAAGGCAGATTAACCTTTCTTCCTCTGCATCATCACCTGCCTTTTTCTCTTAATAGCTTTCCAGAGGTTTTAAGAGATGAGGTCTCCTTCCTTACCTCTGCAGTCACAGCTCACTGCTCTGTTTGCCTGTGCAACATTCACCTGATGTTTGTCAAAGTAGTATTTCCTGTATGTCACTCACAAGGGGAACTGGATTTTGTTTTTAAGTGGAACACTGTACTAGTTGCCTTGAATACTGGCAAGGCATAGTGTAGGTGGCTGGTATTTTTCTGGTTTGATCAGACAGTGTGGTCCTGCACACACTACTTGGGTAAGTCCTGTCAATTTTAATGGAATTTGGAATGGACTCACATATTGCTGTGTGTGTCAAACTTCCTCAGTGTTTTATTGTATGGTCTGTGCACTACATGTGCAAAGGAATTAACGTAGCTGCAATTATTTCCACTACAGATAACACGTCGGTGAAAAAAAGCCCATTTGCATGCAATGTGCTTACAATACGGATGTGCACTAGTTTAGAAGGGGGCACTGCAAATTTGTGTTTCTTCCAGGTTAATAGGTTCAGTATTGACACCTTGACAGAGGATGGCTGATGTGATGTGTTGGTAGGTTACCAGCTTCTGCCAGTGACTGGGGGACAGGGACCTGGCGCCCTTTCCAGAAGGTATAATGAGCTGGCAACTCTGCTCCTTCAGTTCTGTGCAGTTGGAGATAGCTCAGTTGGTTAGAGTGTGGTGCTGATAATGCGCAGGTCACAGGTTTGATCCCCATATAGGACAATTGCATATTCCTGCATTACTGGAGGTTGGACAAGATGATATTCAAGGTCCCTTCCAACTCTACAATTTATAATTCTATATAGCTGCTGAGTGGATATACTAGGCACAAGGTGTAGACCATGAGCAAGCCTAGTGCTGTCACCTTCACCTAATGAAGAATTGAATTTTGGCCTCATTTAATGCAATCATCTGAGTAGTGACGTGGAAATGAAAATTTTAGATTTTTCAGCGTGGGGAAAGAGCAGCCTTCAATGGAAGGAAAGGCTTTCTTGTGAATTTTTATTTTATATAAATTGCTTTTTTTCCTGCCCTGAAACCCAAGATGGTAGTGGCATACAATGTGGCCAAATCCAGACCTTCTTAGCTTCAGCAAAGCAGGGACTTCAAGTCACCTCCAGACCATGCCCTGGGATCCAGCTGATTGCTGCATGAACTGAATTAATTGTTAATGAGTTGTTTGACTCCACAGCAAGAGTCAGTTCATATAGGGTTAAATGCAAACTTGCATTGTAAGAAACACAGGCTAAAGCATATGTCAATATGAGAGTATGTTTTATTTTATAGTTTAGGATTCAATACATTGTAACCTTGTTGGAGACGGTGGCCTGGGCATAGCCACCCAAGCTGAATTTGTGGCTAACATACCCCTATTAGACATATGACCACAGACCACACCAGCTGTATGTTTCTAATGAAATTATTCTGGAATTTTTAGCGATGTTCACACTGCCTCAACTCCAAAATGGTTAAAAAACATAATCTTGGCAAGGCTGAGGCTCATCAGGAACTGCTTCTCAGCTTTGTGAAGTTCCTTTGCCTTAAGACATAGCTACTTGCAATATGGCGATGTGGTTTGGATAGTGTCAAGAGCAATCACATGGCAAGTTTACCTGCAGTGGGCAAGTACATCTCTCCACCCCATCCCAGGAGTTCTTCTATGCAAACCTAGAAGATGGTTGTTCAGATTGGAAAGATTGCTTGGGTCCCACAATGCTCCCTGTCTCTACTGCTCTGTGAATGAGTGAGAGCTACGATGGGCTGGAGCCCTCTTGAACCTAAACGATTCTCAGAAATTGTTTTGAGCATAATCAGTGTTTCAACTTAACTGCACGCAGGGCTGTCTTTCATGACCTCTCTGTGTACAAATTAATCTATTTCATCGGAGGTTTTGTGTGGGTTTTCTGATGTCATAGTAATCTCAAATATTTAGAAGGGAGGGAGGAAATAGCATTCTGAAAACCCTCAACACGATGTTTTCCTATCTCTGTTCATCATTATGTGTGAGGTAGTAGATTTGCTTCCCAAAACAATGCTTTCATGTGAATGAATTTATGATTTCGGTCACAGACCAGTTCCAGCCCACATACAATATCAAGGAAGTCATAAAACATGATAGGGATACATTTGAATTTGCAATTAGGTATAACAGGGACAATACAGATATAGCAACAGTTTAAAAATATATAAATTAAAACTTAGTCACTAACATATAACCTAAAATTATCATTTAAGGCCTTAATCATTATGATAGCACAGCTTGTTCCCTAGGTTTTATGGCAATCGCACAGAATTTGGCTACCCTTAACATGATCTCAGGATCCTTGTCCTCTACCAGGGATTTTAGACACTGAAGTTTGGATTCATTTGAAGATTTTTGCATAGCAGGGGTAATAAATACCGAGTGTATATCCCCGTAGAAACGGCAGCGTAACAAGGCATGAGAGACAGTTTCTACCTCCATCAAGCCGCAGGGGCAGACTCGTTCCGCGTATGGTTTACCCTCGAATCTGCCCTGCAATAAGGCAGATAGCAGCACATTGAATATGCTTTCATGTGTTGGTGCCTCCACACAGCTGCTGCTGTGTAACATAAGGGGGCTGACTAGCACTATCACAGGAAAGTGCACATGCCTGTAGCAATGATGGCAAAGCACTGGAATGGAGACCAGATAGCAACTATTGATTCACAAGATGAGCCCTTAGTGTATGTTGTGACAGCAGCAAGGAACTCCTGCAGTGCAAAAATTCTTTTCAAAAAACAACCATACCATTGCGGCAACACTTATTTATTTATTGGAAAAACACCAAAGCAGTTTACTAGATAATAATAAAATGGTTAACAATACAATAAAGCAGATCAATGAAACAGCATTAATATTTCACACAGTAGCCAGGCATCAGGAGCCAACGCCAAATGCACCATTTTGACAAGTAAGTGGTACCCAAACTAAATAATAATAATGAGGAGGAGGAGGACGAGGAGGAGAGCACCTGGGTGAACATGTTTTAAGTTGGTGGCGAAAACACTCTCCCAGTGGGCAGTTTGTTCCACACACTGCATGCCACAGCAGAGAAGGCTTTCCTCTGCACCACTGCCAGATGAATCTGAAGGCTGTGACGTGGATTGGCTCCACTACACAGTACCACACACATCCCCCTCTCCTCCTGCAGTAAGTGCCAATGGCATGCTGTGTTCAGAAGCCAGGAGAGCAAGGGTGCCCCACATGGGCTGCTACTGATGGTTAGCAATGCCTCTCTTACAGTCTGCAGAGAACTGTGGTGGCCTATGCAAGAGATAACATGGCTTAAGCTGTTTAGGGCCTTTTAATCACCCCCCCTGCACATGTACACATGCACCTTGTACCTGGCTTGGTGGCTAACTGGCAGCCAGTGTCATATGTGTGCAGTGGGGCGGTCCCTTGAGCAGCCCAGCCATCACATTCTGCACTAGTTGCTGCTTTGGAACTAACCTCAGGGCAGCCCTGCATGAACTGTGCTACCTTGCTGCTGTCCTCAAGCCCAGGGGACCTGCCAGAATAAATACTGGATTACTTTAAGCAGCCTTAGGAAATGCTCGGCTTGATGTGGGAATGGAAGCCTGTTCAAAACACTTGGATCAAGGCTATCAGCTACTTTAACCAGATTATAGATGTTTGGCTAAATTAGACCAGAATTTGTTCTGTCTTGGATAAATAGTAGAAATGAATGGTAGCCCTTAAAGGCTTTGTTGATAGCTATGTGTGTTGCCTCAATTAACAGGGGAAAGAGGAATGTTCCAAAAGACTCTGAGTGGGTTGCATGGCATGTTTTCTGAGTTAGGTAAAAAGAGAGAGAGAAAATATGATGTCATGATGTATTGATGTATGATAATATAATGGAACTACTATTAGTTTAGACTATAAGGGATAATTTGGTTGCTTTAGACAAATTTTTGAAAATATTACATTTTTGTACTTTCCTCTTAATTATAATAACCACTGATAACTGACATTATTATTTGACCCTCAGAGTCTAAATGGCTCCAGGCAACGTACATAAACTTGACAAACAGGCCACTCTAATGCTGTCTGTTTCTGTCCTTACAATGTGGCAATGAAGCTTTTATTCACTGAAAGAGATGCTGAGTTTGATTGACAGGTTATTTGCCTGAACACTGTGCCCCCCTTTTCCTAACACTTAACTGCTATCAATTACAGTTTTGAATGTGGGTTTTTTTCTAATGTAAAATAATGCCAGCCACTGCCTCTAACCCTGAGCTCTTTTGTCTTTTCTCTCTCCAGTCTTATTCAGGTCTTGCTCACTCACTCTGCTTTATTTTTCATGTATATTTTCTTTCAGCATATAAATGCTGGAGTGCTGTCCTTAGAAATCAGCCTCATGCAAAAACATGCCTCATCAATAACTTTGTGGACAAGTGGGCTACACCAGTGGTTAAAACAGGAAACCTACTGAGGTATTGTGATTGCTCCATCCTGGTCTCATTTAGTATAGTGATATGCAGTATTCTAAATACATACATTAGGGGCAGTAATTTTGTGCACAGCTACAAGTTGGCTTGGCTCATTCTGTAGCATGATTTCCCTCTGGCAGTCAAGTTAAATTCTCCTCTGAAAATTTGCCTGAATGAACTGAATACAGATCTTATTTAAATCAGGTGATTTGCTTTAGCTGCCATCTGTTGGCCAGTTTGCTATTATTATTCTGCTGTTGTAGTAGTTACCTGTCTCCCTGTATTGTGGAAAGCCAGATATCACATTTAATAAATATTTGAGGTATTATGCAATAGTTTTAACCTCAGGGAATGTAAGTGTTTGCTTGTACGTACACACACACACACACACACACGGGCAGGCTGGAAATTGTGTGCTTTAAACATCCCCATCTAATTGTTTTCAAGCAATCCTCCAGATCAAGAGAGCACTATATTTGTTAAAGCTCAAAATGATGAGTGCTCCTGTTGCTGTGGAGCCCCACATACCCTCAGTGAATGGCACTTTCTGCGTGATTCAAGAATAGGCCCCACAGTGCACAGTCAAGAATCTCTTGTGAATTCTGAAGTCTCTTGTAGGAGTGTTTTATAATTTACTCTGTAGAAGGTTTCCTTTTATGAAGCCTCTGAAGATTTTACATGAAGGATTAAACTCCTGCCTATCTGAAGTCTGATCTTAATCGGTGCCTTTTGACCACAACAGGGATCTTTTCAACACCAAACACAAATGCTCTTGGTTCAGATAAATGGATGGGCTTGGTTTTCTCCTTTTCCTTCCCTCTTTTCTATTTTGGAAACACTGTGCGGTACTTTCACATTCCAGTAGAAAATTAGCCTTCCTTTCACAAATGGCAGATTGGACCATAAACCAGTACCATTCCAGACTGTAGGACATGACTGAATGGTCTTCCATACCAAAAAATAAAAAGTTTAAAAAGCTAGGATAGAACCTTGCTTCCATTCAAAACCACATACAGTGGTACCTCGGGCTAAGAACTTAATGCGTTCTGGAGGTCTGTTCTTAACCTGAAACTGTTTTTAACCTGAGGTACCACTTTAGCTAATGGAGCCTCCCGCTGTCGCCGCGCGATTTCTGTTCTCATCCTGAAGCAAAGTTCTTAACCTGAGGTACTATTTCTGGGTTAGCGGAGTCTGTAACTTGAAGCGTGTGTAACCTGAGGTACCACTGTACAGCCATTTTGGAATAGTTACAATTGTACGCTGCTGGGGAATGAGTA